GCCAAATGCCTCTCTTTTGATGTTTCACTAAAGGTACTGCATAAATGCTTGGATAAATTCACAATATTTCTGTCATTTGCACTCTCCACTTCTTTCCACTATTCGCCTCAAAACCTCCCTTCGTACTCGAACACTTCCCACGGTTTGAGGTTTGCTTCCTTCTTGGGGGCCAGTGGCATCCCCTCCGTCACGAGGTTCGTGTCTTCCATCCACCACTGTTATTCATTTATATCAATATTGGTAACATTTTATTCTAGTAGGATGTTTTGACTACCAACGAGTTTGCAAAGTAGGCTTAAAATAATTTACTGATTGTGTGTCATCCACCTGTTCCATTTAAAAGCATTCTTGTTAACTCATCAACATTACCTTGCCTCACTTTTAGATACAGGAACGTGCCTATTTCCTGAGACAATTTTAGTACGTGGTTGTTTGAATGTACCTTATGGGTGAGGAGCAGTCAACATGTAATACTTGGACGTTTTAAATTACGGGCTTCGCTTACTGCACCGCCGCCAGGCGGCCTGCCCTGTGGGCCATGCCAGCAGCCTTCAAGCGAATCTGTAGGTCCTCTTTTGTCTTGAGAAAAGTCCTGACACATGGCAAGTTTATACCAGTCTCATGGTCGAGGAAACGCGCATTGGATCCCGAGGCGAAAAAAGCACCTCAAACCCTTAGAACCGCAATTTCTGCTCCCCTTCTTTAGCAGTAAATGTTGTCCTCATCCAACCAGTTTGCTCATGTCAAGGGCACAGAGACAGTGGTGAAAAACACTGAAACCGATAACTTGTTCAAATATGTGACCGGTCGCCAAAATTGTAACTTCGAATACAAACTGTTTTGTATTTAGTCATGCCGATTGGACGTTCTTAAGAACAAGAAGGAGAGTAAAGTAGACTAGAATAAGTGAGTGCTTTTTGAGACAACATTAGCTGCCACTTTCGATCCCGGTCGCTTTAGTGGTTGGTTCCAACTCCTAGAGTCACAAATGGCAATGCTGACGATTCCAAAATTTTCTCCTTTAATCATTTGTTGGTTAATTTTATAAATGAATATGGAATAAAATTTGCGAATTTATGAACAATTTTGGAGGTTGATCAGCCATACCTTTGTGACACCTGAGGCAAACCTAAAAACATTGCCTATACCTATATAGTAATGTAGTTCTCTCTCAGTTTTAGGGGTGACGGGCCACTCAGGTCTCCTCCAGGCAACCTGTCCTCTGCACCATGCTGATCGACAATGCATACGCTGTAGGAGTATTATTTCTTCTTTCAGAGATTTTATGTCATTTTAATTAAAAAAAACACTCAAATATTGTGTCCAACACAGTCTGAAATACTTTAAAATGCCTTAAAACAGTCAAGCAGTCCTTGACACTTGACGCCACACCCATGCATACCACTAGACATGACGAG